TTTTTTTTCTGGTCTTGGCCTTGACTCGGTCTCGCCCTCCCTTAGTCTTGGTCTCGACTTGGTCCACRCCCTAAAAGTCTTGGTCTTGTCTCGGTCTTGAGACACCGTGGTCTTGCTCTTGGTTTAGGTGGTCTTGACTACAACACTATCTGTAGCCCTTTGATGGACTTGCAACTGGTCCAGGGTATCCCCCGTCCCTTGCACTGTGACTGCTGATAGGGACACCAGTGACCCCTGTGACCCTGTAAGGAAGAAGCAGTTTAAAATAATAGATAGGTGGATAGATGAAATTCACCCAGTGGTTCATCTGGTTGTTGTTATTGAAGCCTAACCAAAAATGATTCTGGTGGAAAAACACAAATATAGAAATGAGTCAACATGATTTCTAAATGTCAAGAGTCACTGTTCAATTTTTCTGCCACTTTTCTTTCCAAATGACATTTGCAGAGAAACTGGGCAAAATGATTGTGAAACATGACAAGGTAGATAATTAGGAACCTAAAAGGCATGAAATGCTGTGGTTGTAATTCAGGCAGCATGTCGACCCTATCAGTAGCACAACGCTGTGACAATTCCAGAGGATACAGGGATCATAAAGTAAAGATTAAAAAAGGGGTAGTAGACTCATGGTCGTCACTTTGGATAGTTTTCCCATAGATTAGAAAGACATTCAGACCCATGTACCCGAGAAAGCCTTATAAATCTGTGAGCTTGTCCAACATTCACAGACGATGGCACCCAGTTCTACAAACACCTGTTAAAACTMATCTCGCTCCTCCTTTTGATCTCTCGTCTCCTTCTGCCGCTCCATTATCATTGTGAGTCTGCTAACCGCTTCTYGGAGGGTTGCTTTCCTTCCAGAGGTTTTGGATTTAAAAGATAGAGGTGATCTAAGCTGTATAGCTTGTGAATAATGACACAAGTAAAGGAGGACAATTTATTTTCCACTTTAAAAGGAAGATGGAAAATCAGGGGAGCTGCCAAGGGGTATTCATCTGATCCGAACAGGCCTTCAATAAAACAAATTTCTTTGACAGCTATTTTTGGATCTTTACTGAGAAGCGTTCCCCAAACAAGCTTTTGTCTTCYGTCCTGACAGCCTGTTTTCTAACTGCTCATGCTGACTCCCTGTTAAATCAATGGATGACATTACCAAGGACAAGATTTGGTAYGCCTGACCACATGAAGCAGATATACATCTCCATGGCTGAAGACAGATTATACCRTTCGATTCAAGCATCTTTGAGCTCAGTTTCTTATATTGAAAGGTCAGCAGCAGARTCTGTATTACTGCAGCCGTCAAGTTTAACAGATGTAAGGAGACTTTGTCCTGACATTACTGCAGGTGACGTCTACTTTTATTAATTGCATTCAGCATTACCTGAGTCCAAAACACAATAATATATAGTCAAAACCGATAAAGCATCAACCTAATGTAAATAAAAACAGAATTTTACACTTTTTCCAGGCATAGATTGAGTTTTTGGCACAAATTTTGCAGCTTTTGGATGACATCAGAYTGCCATCTAGTGGTAAATGTTGTAATTTGGTAGCACCTTTCAAAACATAATTAAAACAATGTCAAAACTGTAAAAACAAAGCAGATACAGGACTAAATCAATAAATTAAACACAATGAGCAGGTTTTAAGGCGGGATTTATAAAGCCTGTGGCCCTATTGTACTCTAAGAAATGAAATGTTGGATTTACACACCCAATTTCTAACCAAAGAACATGAGTATATTGCTTTGAATTTACTCAACTCAGTTAAGTGGAACCAGTTGACATAACATGGTTAAGTAAATCCAACATCTGATTTTTTAAGAGTGTGCGATCAGACAGACAAATGATAAGATAAAATAAAACTTTATTGTCCATTAAAAAATGGAAATTTTGTTTACATAATCTGCTTGGAAAATGGAAGATGAAGACCTAAGAGTACAGCTGGGTGATGTGTAAAAAGACCAGAAAGATACTGAAGGGTAAAGAAGGGAATAGCCTTAAAAGTGAGAAGCAGGATTTTACAATTGATGCAAAATTTATTAGGAAGTCATTGAAGTTGTTGAAGAACAGGAGTTGTGGTTAAAAACGGGAGTTTTGGTAAGGATGCATGSAGCAGAGTTCTGGAGCAACTGAAGTTATTGAAGGGACAGTGCTGCTGGTTGTGAGGGACGAACAGAGGCGGGTAATGTTACAGAGGTGGAAATATGCAGACCAAAATTTATTACTGACATGTGCTGAAAAAGACAGGGCGATGACACCCAGACTCTTAACTTGAGGGTASAAATGGACGACAGAGTTATCAATAAGTGAAAACTGTCAAATTTGTTTTATCACTGCTGAGTTTGTGGAACCAGGTTTTGATTTTCCTTCACAAAAGGGAGGTGGAGCGATGACAGGAGGTAGRTTTGATGGAAATCTACAGCTGGGTGTCATCCACAGAGCAATTAAGATTATGTTTCACAACTATTTATTTTATTTTTTATTTATGACAAAAAAGAAGTCATTTGTTTGGTTTATCCTCCTCTTGAAAGTCTTAAAGACTGATGACAGTACGAATGCTGTGAGGAAAGAAAGAAGAAATAAATAACCAGGATGACTGAAGTCAAAGACAAAACGGCAACAATCAGTTACTGGCAGAGTAACAGAAATACAATTATTAGATGTATTTGTCTCATTAAACTAACATGCATTAGTTCCAGCTTTTAGAATATATATATATATGCAAATGTTTTTTTTACTCAAACTCGCACACAAAAATGTAATATTTAACTTATTAAGCACTCAGATTTCCATCCCAAACTAGCATTAAATGAATAATTTTCCAAAGTGTGACTAATAAACTTGACACAAACACACACAAGGAAAGTTAGAAGCCATAAATGAAATACATTCTTACCTTTTACCRTTTTTCAGAAGCTCAAAGGCCTCATTGATCTGATCCAGTGGCATGTTGTGAGTGATAAACTCATCCAGCTGCAACTCCTTGTTCATGTACTTTTCCACGAGTTTAGGAACGTCCTTTACACTCTTCCAGCCTTCAGRAAACAGTAACGATAAGTTTAGTTAAATTGTTTGTTGTTCTAAACATAAATTATTAAAGTCTGGAGCTCAGAAGGTACCATCAGAAAAACATTTTTTTCTTTGTTTGTTGCTCTTTAATACACTAAACTGTATATTTTACTTATTACTCAGTTTCTGAATTAAACCATTCATGTACTTGTGTGTTTTAGAAAGCGATTTTTTTTTTGTTTTTGAAAGAAACCAAGAACCAGTTTTAATAACTTCTTTTCAGATCACCTCCAAAATAAGTTCCGGTCAGGGTGCGTCCCATCAGGAGCTTGATAACCTGAACGTTTATTGATTCTGTCTCCGTCCATCCGGCAATGACGCAGGTGCCGCCGGCTTCTGTCGTGGAGTCCAGTGCTGCGCTCTAGGACGACATGAGAAGATGTTTTTTTTTATGCTTGTGCATCAGTTTTAGTTTTCCAAACTTATCTTCGAAGTGACTAGAACTTCCTTACTGCAGCAGCATGTAGTAGCTCTGTGCAGACTCCACAAACATAATAATAATAAAATAAAACATCAAGCTGTATCTTGTAGTTGACACCCACCATAATGGCTGGACTTCCAACACACTCCAGAGCGTAGTCCACTCCTCCGTTACTCATCTCCACCAGAACCTCCTGGATGGGCTTGCTGTGATCTCTCGGGTTGATACAACGAGTGGCCCCAAACTGCTTGGCTTTCTCAAACTTCTCAGGGTTAATGTCGACCCCGATGATGGTTTTGGCGTGACATGCCTTGCAGCCCATGATGGCAGCCAGACCAACAGCTCCCAGCCCAAACACGATGCACGACGAATCCTTTTGGACCTAAATCAACAGTAACAGGTTGAAGGAAACATACATTGCTCTATTTATTTATTCATTGGGAATAATTGAAGAGAACGTTATAATATAGTTTGTCAAAAAGTATGAAAAACAAAAAGGGAGACTATAACTTTAATATTTTTATTGCCAACTGCTAAAGGCAAAAAGGAGATAAAGAGACATCCTGAACCCGTTGCAAAGTTTGAAMAAAATAGCTATAACTCCTTTTTTTGTCATCTTAAGACAATCTTAGTTTAACACTAGCATTAAAGGCAGCGACCAAYTTGTATTCCTTTAGGAAATGCTAGGCGTTTCACTTAATCACAACTGAATTTCTTAAGAGGATCTGCTGCCATCTACTGRAGAGATTTAATAACTACAGCCCAGCCACTGAACGTCATTACAAGGTTCACATTAGTGTTGTCAAAAAACAAGTTACAGCTTTGAAATATAAAACAAAATAAAATAAAATAAATTAAAAATAAACATCTGGCAGTTCTGAGTCCTCTCACCTTGCCTGCATTAATTGCAGCCCCATAACCGGTGGAGACGCCGCAGCCAAGCAGACAGACTTTATCCAGCGGCGCGTCAGGTCTTATTTTTGTAACCGATGTCTCAGGAACCACCGTGTACTGACAGAAGGAGCTGACACCAAGGAACTGATAGATCTGCTGCCCATTGCAAGATATCCTGCTTGTGCCATCAGCCAAAACACCTGATTGTGTGTTCGCCCTAAAAGTCACATTATGAGCAGGAAGTGTTTCGAGGTTATGAATGCATCACGAGAAATGTGCACATGTACATGCAATCATGTGATGATGATTATGAGGATCTCACCAGTTTGTCTTGCAGAGGTTTGTTTTGGAACTGTGACACAGTTGGCAGTTGTTGCAGAATGGCAGAAAAAGAGGAATGACTTTATCCCCTGAAACAAAAAAAAAGGCAGGCTAATTCTTAAAAAATAAGGGAAACCTTAAATGCTGTGGTTATTTTTGGAGGGCTGTGCAGAATGACTCACCAGGGGAAAATGTGGTGACTCCTGGGCCGACACTCTCCACTATTCCCGCCGCCTCGTGGCCRAGCACTAAAGGGAACCGCCTTAAAATCGTCCCTTTCCGAGCCTCGTACAGGCATTCCCAGTCCGTGTGACACACCCCCGTGGCAACCACCTGCGCCATGAAAACACGCTTTGAAGTTCATGCTGAAGGTGTGCATGTCAACAGGAAACAAGAGGAGGGTGCGAGAAATAGCTTCGAAACTAGTGAATGAGGAAATGGCTCAAGTGTTTTCAAGCATTTTATACAACTAAATATCCAAAAAATAATAATAAAAAAAATACAAAACATCTGAAAGCCCAGTTTCCCCCCCTTTTTTGATCAATCGTGATCAGGATGACTGAACATATTCATCAGCATAAAATTAATTATGATAACATCTGCAGGCCAGCTTACATGAACGAGAAAGATGTCATTTTAGATTTACGTTGACAAACAGGAAAATGTGGTTGCAGCATTTTCAATATTCGTTTTTTTAGTGTGTGTGCATCCTACTTTGATTAAGCAAAGTAAGAAGAAGGAAGTAACCGAACACTTGAAGCGTATTGTGACAAAAGGCATGTGGTTTTGTGCATCTAAAATATGGTGCATCAACAACAGCAAGTTAAAAATAAAAATAAAGATTTAATTCAAATAAGTCTGCTAACTTAAAGCAGTTTACTCAAACTGTGGCTTTAAACAAGTTTAATTTGGTAAGAGAGACTGTAAGAAATGGTTATTTTGATTGTAAAGGTTGCAGACTTACCTTGATCCTGACTTCATGAGCTTTAGGTGGGGCCACTTCCACTTCCACAACAGACAGAGGCCTCCCAGGTTCCCAGGCAACAGCTGCTTTACACCGGATCACCTAACAAAATAAATAAAACACACTCTAAARCTACTGTTTACACTTTAAATATAACCTTAAATGACCATATAAAAGGCTTATAATATAGCTGAAGGACCTGTATGGACAAACAAGACAAAGGGTTTTTGTTGTGTGTTTACTGTAAAATTAGAAAACGTGAGAATAGTTTATTTTCTTACCTGACCAGCTGTTGCCATTGTCAGCAAAAGACCTGTGATCAAACAAAGCAGTTTTTAGACGAGTCTGCCTGACAGCAGTTTCAAGCTTCAAACTGAATTTCCCGTGCTGCATTTTCAGAGCGACGCAGACACGTGACCGATGATGTCACCTGAGTGACAATAATGTCACTGATGAGAATTTGGTCGCACAAAATGCTTCGTGGTTACTCGAGCACATTTTCCTATCACAGCATATCCTTCGTATTCTTACGCATGATTTTTTTTGAAAAAATAAAAATAAAACAAATAATAATAATAAAATCACAATCAATCCCAGAGACAAGTCACGTGTCGCTGTGCCTTATTTCGCCACTAGATGTCACTRAAACAAAGCTTTGAATGAATGAACGAACCTGTTTATTTATTTATCCCCACGTCATTCTGGAGCAAGGTTTTGTCACCGTTAACGCTGAATAAAACTATCATACTTACTTTTTTTAAACTTTCATAATCACAAAGGATACAGCCGCGGGGGTGTTCAGTAACGGTGAAAGCAACAAAGGACACATCAAACATAGCCAGGCACAAGATGCTGATTTATTTCTGATTAGTGSAAAATCTAATTGACTAGTTCAAGTTGACACATTCTAGATCAGAGGTTCCCAAACTTTTTATCTTCTGACCCACAAAGTATCCATGGCAAAAACTTGTGAC